GTCATACTGGCTTGCAGGAGACCAGGATCCACAGCAGGGTTGTCTGATAGCATCCCTTCTCCTTTTCCCTATAATAATACAACCCAAACCTCAGCATACCCATGCACGCGCACATAAACACAAAGCACAAAAACAACAGAAACATGACAAGACAAGGCAACAAAATGCATCCCAAAACTTCAGCTCCTCAAAAGCTGATCTATGGAGTATGAATGGGGAGGGAATAAAAATCCACACAGCTGAACCATTCCAAATGATAAAACAAGAGATTAAAAAACAGAGTAAGGTGCTTAGTGAGCTCACAGAATATCTAACTAAACATATAATACTTAAACAAAACTATTCATGAGCTTATAGAAGACACTAATAAATAGCTGAGCTAAGCAAAATGATGCAAAACATTAATGATCAGTTTAGTAATGAATTGAAGTTCCCAAAAAGATACCAAACAGAAATCCAAGAGATTAAGTATTCTGTTGAATGTATGGACAAAAGAAGTGACCAGTGTGAGTGTCATTACCGGTAGAAAGAGCGGATGCTGGTAACAGTATACTAAGAGATACTCTAAAAACAAGAGAACGTGAAAAATAGATCCAACAGCTGTTAGATAATGCTAAGATTAATTTGAAGTAGTGAAAAATCAGAAGAAAGCACAAATGTCATAAAAAAACCTATTTACAGAAATAATGGCACAACCAAATATGGGGAAAGAAATTAACATGCAGAGACAGAATTCCACACAGCTATCCTCAGAAAAGAAGGTATCCACAACCCACTATAGTCAAAATTCCAGAAGCCCAACACAAGGACAGATTTTAAAAGCTGTTAGAAAAAAGGAACAAATCACTGTGTTTTTTTTAATCTTATTGAGTTTTTGGTACTTTTTAAGTATACAGTACAGTTACATTCATCATTGGGATCTTGTCCCTTTACATGACAGGTCTTGGCTCTCATATTTTCACCCCTTCACTCTCCCCTATTTACAAAGGCTTTGTTTCCATTTTTTCACATTTTTTCTTGTCCCTTATTTCTTTTCTCCTTCCCTTGAACAAATCACTTATAAAGGTAAACCTATTAGAATTACAGGAGACCTCTCAACTTAAACCTTCAAGGCTAGAAGAGCCTGGAGTGAGTGAAGTCTTCCATGCCCTAAAAGAAAAAAAACTTTCAATGCAGAATGATATATCCTGCTTGCAAAATCTACCTTTAAGTTTTGTTGAAGAAATAAGGTCTTACCATGACAAAAAGCAACTTAAGAAATTCATGACCACCGAACAAGAACTGTAAAAAACCAAAACCAAAACCAACCAAACAAACAAACAATACTCTAAAGAGTATCCTAGGAAGAGAAAAAGAAGCCAACGATATGTCAAAAAGTCTAATAAAATGAATATACCACGTAGGTGAACAGTTAAGCAGAAAAGAAAAAAAGGACTTTGGCATCAGGAAGATAATGCAATGACAGGAATAAATCAATACTACCAGGAATAACTTTCAGTGTAAATGGCCTCAATTTCCCAATCAAAAGTCACAGATTGGCAGAATGAACCAAAAAATGAAACCCAAGAGTGTGGGTTTTGCAAGAGTATGGGTTATACAATAAACACATTTAATCCAAAAAGAAACTTATGAACTGAAAAAACCAAAGTCTCCATGCAACAGGAACCCTAAAACAAGCAGGAGTAGACCCCCGAGTTTTTGACAAAATAGAGTTCAAGGTAAATATGATCAGAAGAGGCAAAGGTTACTACATATCGGTTAAAGGAGCAATTTAACAGGAAGCAATAACAATTATAAACATACATGCATGGAACACTGGCAACCTGGTTTCATAAGTACTACTGGACATAAAAGATCAGATAAACATCAACACAATCACAGTGGGGACCTCATACACCACGATTACACTAGATTGACTAGAAAAAAAAAGCCCAAACAAATAAATTTTAGAGTTGAATCAAACCTTTGAGAAAATGGTCTTAATAGATATCTACAGACTGTTCTACCCAACAACAGACTATATATTCTTCTCAGTAGTACACAGAACTTTCCCCAAAACAGACCATATGCTACAGCATAAAGCATTCTTAAAAATGAAAAAGAATCAAAATTATCCCATTCATATTATCAAATCATAGCATAATGAAACTAGAAACAAATGGGAAATCACAAAAACTATATAAACACATATAAATCACACAATATACCTTTGAATAATCAGTGGGTCATAGAAGACACCAAGAAAGAAACTGGTTTCTAGAATCAAATGATAATTCAAGTACAATATCCCAAAACCTATGGGACACAATGAGAGCAGTCTGGTAGAGAAGTTTATAGCTGTGAATGCCTGCATAAAAAACCCAAAACCAAAAACCAAAACCAAAATATAAAGAACAAGCTCAAATAAATAATCTAATAATGAATTGCAAGGTCCTACAAAAACAAGGACAACCCAAATTCAGGGCTAGCACAGAAATCAATGAAATTGAGACAAAAAAGCCCCCAAACAAAACAAAATAATAACAATAGCAAAACAATACAAAGAACCAGTGTATCCAAAAGTTGGTTCTTTGGGAGAATGAACAAAATAGACAGACCTTTAGGCAAACATAAAAAAAAAAAAAAGACCAGGTCAATGCAGTTACAAATGAAAGAGGTGAAATCACAACCGGCGTTGTCAAAACCCAGATGATTATTAGCAACTGTTTTGAAAACCTATGAACCAACAATTTGGAGAATCCAAAAGAAAAGGATAGATTCCTAGATACATATGAATTAACAAAACTGAACCAAGGAGAGAGAAAAATCCTGAATAATCCAATACTTAGTAGTGATTTAAGCACTAATAAAAGTCAATCAAATAAGAAAAGCCCGCAACCCAGTGGATTCACCACAGAATTCTACAAAAACTTCAGGGAAGATCTAACGCCAAGCTCTTTAATGAAATTGAGAGAGAATGAGTACACCCCAACCTATCATGGCTGGAAGTAAGCATTACCCAGAGAAGGACTCAACCAAAAAAACAGCATGACAGGTCAATTTCTCTTTTCATTTTTGAGACAAAGTCTTGCTATGTAGTTCAGGCTGGCCTTAAAGTCACTATGTGAGCTTGTCTGGCTTTGAACTTGTGGTGATGTTCCCTCCTCAGCCATCTGAGGGCTGGTGTGTGCCACCACACCCAGCAAGATCAATCTTGCAGTGAACATAAATGTGAAAATCCTCACCAAGTTACTGGCGAACAGAATGTAATAAGTTATCAAAAATATCATACATCATTATCAAGTAGACTTCATTCCAGAGATGCAAAGATGGTTCAATACACACAAATCAATAAATGCAATACATCACATAAACAGAAGCAAGGACATGATTGTCTCAATAGATGCAGCAAAAGCCTTTGATAAAATCCAACATCACAACTGATTAAAATCCTGAAGAAAACTGATACAGAAGGACCTTATTTAATTGGATAAAAGCCATTTCTAACTTCCATTGTATTAAATGTCGAAAAGCTGAGAGTTTTCCCTCTAAAGTCAGGAACAAGACAAGGATGTCCACTATCACCATTCTTGTTTAATGTAGCATTCAAAGTATTTGCCAAAGTAGTCAAACAAGAGAAACATAAAAGAAATCTTTATAGGATAGGAAGAAGTCAAATTATCATTATTCATCAATGACATGACTGTCTACATGGAAAATCCTCAAAACATCACCAAAATAATTCTAGAATTAATAATAATTGTGATAAATTGCCAATACATATTAAAAGTGCTTTATTTTTGGGACAGGGGCTTGCTGCATAGTTTAAGTTTAGCCTTAAACTCCCTGTGTAGTCCAAGCTGGTCTTCAACTTCACTACACCTGGCTCTTTATTTTAAAAAATGGCATAGTGGCTGGGTGTGGTGTTGCAGGCATGTAAACCCAGCCCTCGGGAGGCTGAGACAGGATGATTGCTGTGAGTTCAAGACCAGCCTGGGCTACAAAGTAAGTTCCAGGTCAGTCTCAACTACATAGTGAGAACCAGTCTCAAAAACAAAACAAAACAAAAAATGACATTGTGTTAGCAAATTTAACAGTTAGCTATCTCGTTTTGTGAGAATTCCATTTGTGCGTGTTGATGGTTGTAGGCATTCTCTCTAAATTTAGAGTTGAGTTATGCTTCAGCAAACAAATTGTGGGAGAGAGATTTCAATCATGTCTGTCCACATCATCCTACTCCCCAAAACCTGCACCTTAAAGATAAAAAGGTTTCTTCTGGCTCAAGCTTGGAGAGGTTTGGCTACATGGCAGGGCAGCATGCGGGGGCAGGAGGCAGAGAAAGAGAAGATGAGGGGAGCAACAGGGAAGAGATTCCCCTCCAGAATCTGTTCCCCGCTTTTACCTCCTCCCTACCAGGTTCTACAGCCAGAAGAGCCCACCCTTCAGGTATGTCCTTAAGGGCTGGCTTCTTATTTCTCAAACCTGATCTGAGTTACAGCCAGTGAGGCAGGATTCCTTCTTTGTCTCTATTTGTAAGAATCTGAGCTGAATCCAGGCCCCAGGCTAATAGGAGGTTGGACTTGGACTCTGCCTAGCTGTGCAGTTGGCGGTCAGAGGCTTCCATCCCTGAGCCTGTTAATTCTGCTAGGGAAATGGTACATGCTGTCCTCCTTGCCCACACACGGAGAGGAGCAGGGGAGCTGATCAGGGACCAGGCTTGTGCTGGCCCTGGTCTCCTGGCACCCGAATCCTTCTGTTTACGCTTCACTTTCTACGCCCTGGTCATAAAAGGGCAGGGGTATCTGAAGATGTGTGACTCACTATGCCCTTTGCCCACCCCTCGATCTTGGCGCCACCTCTGCTAAGTTGTAAAGACCCCGTGTCTATGCATGTGACACCGAGTTGGATTGCTTTTGCAGCCAGCTGGCCCTTTTTCCATGTCTTGGCTGCCCGCCCAGGGAGGGAGTAGCCAGCCGGGCCTAGGCCGATTGGCTGGCCGTGCCTCACTAACCTTGGGTCGGTGGGGAAGGTTCTGGCCAAGGCGAAGGCAGCTCCTGGCAGTGAAGGGCCAGGACGCCAGTGGTTTCTGGGATGCAGTCCCTAGCTACGTATTTATGATTGAGCCAGGTTAGTTCTCTAATCGGTTTCCCTCTTCTGCTTTTCATTGTTCCTCTCCTCCTCCTCTTCTGTCTCTTCTTCCCCATCCTCCTCTTGCTCCTGTTTCCCTCCACTTTCCCGTCTCTTCATCTTCCTCTTCACGCTCCTCCCTCTTTCTCTTCCTCAGCCTCTCCTTTCTTCCACTTTTCAGCTCATCGTCCCGTGCATCGCCCTGTCTCCCTCCCAGTCCCTGCCCTTCTAAGTCTCCAAGTTCCTTCCCCTCGGCAGTTACCTTGGAGTTCCCTGTCTCCTTCCCGAAACTCCCCTTCTGTCCCCTCTGTCCTGCAGGATGACACAGCCGATCATGTCCTGGTTAGGTCTGGGTCCGGTGGCAACCTCCCCGTGGCTGCTCGCACTGCTGTTTGGGGTCCTCTGGCTCCTGATGCGAATTGTGGTCCAGACCTATGCTTTCTACAAAAACGTCCAGCAACTCCAAGGTTTCCCTCAGCCCCCTAAACGAAACTGGTTCTTGGGTCACTTGGGGCAGGTGAGTGTGGCAGGGAGCAGGTTCTGGGGCATCGGGGTGGGTGGATTCCTGAGGGGTCAGGAAGGGGATCAGGGAGCCAAGAGTCACGGCAAAACCTGGAGAAGCCAGGGAAAGGGCTCACTCATTTTTCTGCTGCCGGAGAAACATTTTCCGCAGACACACTCATCCCACAGGCTGTATGCCCAGCCCGTCTCACACCCTGTCCTCCCATGTGTAGTCTGCTTTGGATTCTCTCTTTGGGTTGTGTTTCTAATACGGCTGCACCTGTCAGGGGCTCCCAGGGTGGGCGACACAGAGTGAGAACCACTTTCTCTTCGCCCATTCTCCTCCGCTGTCCTTGCTCCATCCTGAGGGCCCTGTCCAGGGTCTGCTGCCTGTCTAGATCCTCTGTTTGTCAGCCCGTCTCGGCTGATGGTTTTTCGCAGGAATTCGCTCTGAAGCTCCTGTCTTCAAGACAGGAACCCAGCCGTGGCAGAGGAGCGGTGCGGGCTGACTCCCTTCTGCCCTTCACGGGATAGCTTCCTTTACGTTGCACTACCTGTCACACATGCACACCCATATGTGCACACAGACACACACACTCACATATATGTCTGAAAAACTTGGGGGATTTATTATTATGAGAATTATCTTATGTACTTTTGCAGACTACGAAGTCCCACTCTATGCCATCTCCGAGCCGGAGAGCCAGGAAAGTCGATGGTGTAACTCACTCAGTCTAGATCCAATGGTTGGGATACCCGGGTTTGGGGCAGGGTGGGAACTGTTGATGTAAAACTGAGTAGGACCTGGGGTTCTGGGGTCAAGGGCAGGACAGAGCTCTGGAGTGAATTTGTCTTCCCTTTGCCTTGTTTTCTATCTGAAACCTCAGTGGATTGGATGATATGACCCAGCCTTGGTAGGACGGTTGCTGAGACTACGAGAGTCTTCTGAAACACCTTCCCAGATGCACCAGGAATCGCATTTCATCAGCTATCGGAGCGCTCTTGGCTCAGCCCAGTGGACACCAGCGATGAGCCATGTCCGAGCTGACCATCACTGTCTTGTCTGCAGATACAGCCCACAGAGGAGGGTTTGAAGTTCGTGGACCGGATGGTGCACACCTACCCTCGGGGATTTGTGATGTGGTTCGGCCCCCTCCTCCCCGTCATCACTTTGTGCCACCCTGACTCCCTCCGATTTGTCCTCAGTGCCTCAGGTACTCACGTGGAGTTTGTGCGGGTAGTGTGTGTCACATCTAAAGGCTTCCAGCCCTCCAAGCCAGACCTCCCTCTTGGCTTCTCCCTCTTTCTTTCACGCACTCCCATTCCACTGTCCCCTCCCTCCACTGCCGTCACCCTGCACATGCCGTGATCCTGGTGTCCTAAAAGCTCCCGGGCCTCAGGAGGCCTCGATCCAAGGGCATGTCCTGGAGGGACCCCCAGTCTTCATGAGATGGATCTGGGCCGAGACATCCCCGAGGAGTGGACCAGAGGGAAATAAACTTTACTTACGACCGCTCAGGGGTGAAACAATGTCTTTGGACGAGGAGCTGCCTGAGGAAGGTTTGTAACGATGATTAGGAAAGTTTAGATGAGAGGTCCCTGCCATGTCTGGGGTCAGCCTTGTGTATCTCTAGGCCCACAGCAATGAGGAGAGCTGGGGGCTGATGTGGACTCTCGTCCTGACACCCAACTTACCGCTCTGGCTCCTTCTTCAGTACCCTGTGGTTTATCTACCTGATGTTCATTGCCCTCCTGCTCCAGGTCCCGAGTCGGCCCCCGAGAACCCACACCAACCTGGCCCACTTCCTCTGCTCTCTACCTGTTCTATTCTTTTAAAATTATTGTGAGTACAAGTGTGCAGTACATAATGGACACTCACGGTGGGCAGTAGGTACAGGTACGTGACCACCTTGATTTTCTGCATCCATTTCCTCTCTCCCTCCCCCAGCTTCTCTTAGTTCCTCTAACATTAGACCGAGGTCTATGTCTGTATTCCTTATTGTCTTTCATTTTTCTCTTCAATTTATTTAGACTTTGACTTTCTCATATTAGAGAAACTACACAACTTTAAGCTTGTGTGTCTGATTCAGTGTGTATCTGCCTACAAACGGCTCAAGCTTATCCTTCTTTATGGCAGCATGGTATTCCATTGTGTAAAAATACTACATTTTTTTAATCCATTCATCTTTTGCTTTTTTTTTTTGAGAAAGGGTCTCACTATGTAGTTGAGAGTGACCTGGAACTCACATGGAGCCCAGGCTGATCTCAAACTCCCATCGATCCTCCTGCCTCAGCCTCCTGAGTGCTGGGATTATAGGCGTGTGCCACCACAGCTGGCAAAAAAATTTTTTTTGGTACCAGGGATCAAACTCTGGCCCTTGCGCCTGTGAAGCAGGTGGTAGAACCACCGAGCGAAACCCCTGGCCCTACCCATTCATCTTTTGAAGGACATATACATCACTTCCACTATTTACCAATTAGGTATTGTGGTTCTGTAAACATGACTATGAATATATCTGTATCATATTATGCCTTTAATTCTTTGCTAGAAGGCAAAGAGCTGACTGGAATGGAATTTCTGGGGTCAGGGGTTTAGAGCAGAGGCACCGTGCCTGCCTCACAAGTCAAGGTCCTGAGTTTGATTACTGGTACCAAAGCTCAATTTCAAATGGAATTTCTGTTTTTTAAGCTTTTTGAGAAATCTCTATACTAATTTCCACAGTGATTGTACTAGTTTTTACTCCCAGCAAGAACATAGAAGAGTTCCTTTTCCCCCAAATCTTCTCCAGTATTTGTTCTTATTTGACTTTTTTGATTATTGCCATTCTTTTTGGTGTAAGATAAAGTTTCAGAGCTTAATTTGCATTTCTTTAATGATAAGCAATATCGAACATTTCTTGATGTATTTATTGGCCGTTTGTATTCCTCCTTCTGAGAAATGTCTATTCTTTTCAGTTGCTATTTTTAAATGTTTTCCCTGTGGGGATTAACTTTTTGTTATTTGTATATTGTAGATATTTATCCTGTTTTTGGTTCCAGGGATCGAACTTGGGACCTTGCGCCTGCAAGGCAGGTGACAAAACCACTGAGCTAAATCCCTGGCCCTGTGTAGAAGCTTTTTAATTTGATATAATCCCATTATTGATTCTTAATGTTATTTCTTTTTTTAATTTTTTATTATTTATTTGTTTATTTATTTGGTACCAGGAATCGAACCCAGGACCTTGCGCTTCTGAGGTAGGTGGCAGCACCACTGAGCTAAATTCCCGGCCCCTTAAAGTTATTTCCTGTGCAATTGGGATTCTGTTTAGAAAGTCATTGCCTGTGTGTATAACTTCAACAGTCACGCATACCTTACCTGCAGCATGTTGTGTTTCTGCTTTAGTATTTAGATATTTGAACCGTTTTCATTTTAGTTTAGTATATGGTGAGAGATATGGGTCTAACTTCTTTCTTCTGTATGTGGGTGGTCATTTTGATCCCTTCGTCAAAGATCAGGTGGCTGAAACTCTGCAGTTTCTGCATCCTCTATTCTAGTCCATCAGTCCACATGTTTGTGTTTGTGCCAATGCCATGCTGTTTTAGCACTGTAGCTTTGTAGTATAACTTGAAATCTGGGATTGTGATGCCTCCTGCTTGCTCTTGTTAGTAGGATTGCCTTTGCTATTCTTGTTCTCTTCTCGTTCCATATGAAATTTAGGATTTTTTTCTAGTTCTGTTGGTATGATGTTGGTATTTTGATTGGAAGTATGTTAAATCTATGCATCACTTTTGGGAATATGACAATTTTGACAATACTGCTTCTGCCTATCCATGAACAGAGGATTTCTATCCATTTTTAAATTCCTCTTCCATTGCCTTTAACAGAGTTCTGTAGTTTTCATTGTGGAAGTCTTTCACTTCATTGGGTAGGTTTATTCCTAAGTATGTAAATTTTCTTGCAATTATTGTGAATGTATTATTTTTGAAAATTTCTTTCTTGTTGGTTTTATTTGTAGTGTACAGAGATGCTACTGATTTTTTGTGTTCATTTTGTATCCTACTTTATTGCTGAACATAGTTTTAATTTCTAAGAAGCCCTGGTGGAATTTTTTGTCATTTATGTAGGGGAGCATGTTGTCTGTAAATAAAGATAATTTGACTTCTTTCATTCTCATACATATTCCTTTTACTACCTTCTTTTGCCTGACTGTTCTGGCCAATTGTTTGAGTACTATATTAAACACAAGTGAAGCCAGGCATGGTGGCACATGCCTGTAATTCCAGCACTTGGGAGGCTGAGGCAGGAGGATCACTGAGTTCAAGACCAGCCTGGGCTACACAGTGAGGTCCAGCTCAGTTTCAACTACATAGTGAGACCCTGTCTCAAAAAACAAAAAACAAAAAACAAAAAACAAATAAACCCGAGTGGCAGTAGTGGACATCCCTGTGTTGTTCCTGATTTTAGAAGGACAGCTTTCTTTTTGTCCCCCTTTATATATGTATATATTATATTGTCAGTTTTATGTCATAATGGCTCTTATTACATTGATGTGTGGTCCATCTATACTTATTTTATTCAGTTTTAAAAAGTAATGAATGGATATTGTATTTGTCATAGGCTTTTTCTGCATCTATTGAGATGATCATGTGGTTTATATTTTTGTTTCTGTTTGTTTTGTTTGTTTTTGGCATGGGGATCGAACTCAGGACCTTGCACTTGCAAGACAGGCAGTGGCCCCACTGACCTAAATCCCTGGCCCTGCTTCTGTTTATATGGGTTACACTTATTAATCTATGTATGTTGAACCATCTTTGTATCCCTGGGGTGAGGTCTACTTTATCATGGTTGATCTTTTTGATGACTTGTGACATTCCGCTTGCCAGTATCCTGTTAAGGACTTTTTTTGGTATCGGGGATCAAACTCAGGCCCATGCACTTGCGAGGCAGGTGCTGGAACCACTGAGCTAAATCCCTGGCCAAGGACTTTTGTATCTATGTTCACTAAACGGATTGGTCTGTAGCATTCTTTTTTATTTGGTGTCTGATTCTGGATTTGGGGTTATTTTAGCTTCCAGGAATGAGCTTGGAAGTACTCCTTAACTTTCAACTTAATTAAAGAGTTTAAAGGCAGGGACAAGGGGAAAAATGAGAACCAAGACCTATCACGTAAAGGTACAAGATCCCAATAATGAATGTAACTGTACTGTATACCTAAAATGTACCAATAACTGAATGAGGAAAAAAAAATAAAGGCTATTGTTGTTAGGTCTTTCATGAGGGTCTTGTAAAATTCAGCAGTGCATCTGTTGGTCCTGGACTATTTTTGTGTTGGTAGGTTGGTATTTTTCTTCTTTAAGTTAATGGATAAATTCAAAGCAAACAATACAGTTACATTTATCCTTGGGATCTTGTACCTTTACATGAAGTATCTTGGTTCTCATTTTTCCCCATCTCCCTGCCCTCCCTTCACCCCCTTCACCCTTCCCTATTTACAAAGACTTTGTTTCCATCTTCTCATTTTTCACATTTTTTTCTTTTCTCTTCTTCCTTTTCCTTTTCTTTATGTATTCTTGGTTCAGTTTTTGTAATTCTGTATATATCTGGGGATCTGTGCAATTCTCCAAGATTCTCTAATTTATTGGGGTACCATTTTTCATAATAGTTGCTAGTGATCTCCTGGACTTTGGTAGTGGTTGTTGTGGGGTGAGAAGCAGAAAAACCAATAAAAAGGAATCAAGCTCCACGTTGAGGACAGGTTTTTTGTTTGTTTGTTTGTTTTTGAGACAAGGTTTCACTACATAGTTGAGACTGACCTGGAACTCACTACGTAGCCCAGGTTGGTCTCGAACTCATAGCAATCCTCCTGCCTCAGCCTCCCAAGTGCTGGGATTACAGGAGTGAGCCACCACACCCAGTGAGGACAGGTTTTATTGGAATGAATACCTGAGAGGGACCATTGGCAACCAGACCAGAATGATACCATCTTTTATAGGTTATTGGGCTTTATAGGGTTGTAGGAGGAAGTTGTGGCTTTTTTTTTTTTTTTTGAGATAGGGCTACTTTTGATGTTGTGGTCACTGAACCATTGCGTTTGTGTTAGTCATTCTTAAGACAGGGCTGCAACTGTGCTTGCTGGGCCTTATCATCCTGGTTCAGCACATTTTGGGAAAAGAGAATTTAAAGAGCATGAATTTTTAAATTTTTTTATTAAGTTTATTAGGGGCCAGGGAT